AATTGCAGTTTGTCTATAAGCTTTTTTTTTAAACGCAGACAGTAAAATGTTGCCAGATATTGCTACGAAAACAAGCAAATAATATAATAACAATTCGAAATTACTTCAAAGCTTGTGTTTTGGAAATAAGATTAATATATCACTAACACTAACATGCAACTTTCCACTATAATAACTTCCTAAAGTGTCACAAAAAATCCGAAAAACAGGTCCAGAAGATTACCGCACCATTCGATTAGGTGGATCTGGCAACACAGAGGCTACACTAGCGCCCTCATTCACAATGCGTTCTCAAGCCCCCTTCACTGCGCTAGCTTCTCGCTGCAACATGAATTGCAAACACACAGGTGGTCTAAACATGGCTAATTAATCATTCACATAATCATTCAATCATGCCATTCCATTTTTGAATGTAAAAAAAAAAAAATGGCCGAGGTCCGGACTGGTTAGCCACGGCCATGCCCACTGCCCAGCAGCATTTTACCTCAAAATTGCAACTAAGTCAGTAACTTTCTAACGAAGGCTCAATCGCTTCTCGGGTTGACATTAACATATTTTTACACCACCTTTTAATGTGTGATTGTGTAAAATGTTCATCATGAGATACCAACCTTTCGCGAACTTGCTTTTAACATTGATCGAACCCTCGTTTTCATAGAGACGCGGTGTGCATTGCACGGAGGGGAGGGGCTGTGTGTGTGCGTGCGAGAGAGAGACGGAGGGAGAGAGCGTTAAGGCCAATTTATACTTCTGCGTAGGGTGCGCGCAGTAGGTACGGCGTAGCATACGCACAGACGCGTCCCATACCGCGTACCCTTCGCCGTCGCCTGACGCGCACCTCTTCAAAAATGTAACTACACGTCGCGACGACGCGGACCGCAAGATCGGTGATTGGTCGGCTTGGTAGCATCGCATTTCCTCCTACGCATTTCCGCACGTACCTTCTCACGCATTTCCACCACTGTCTATGATTTCCACAGTTTCATCTCCTCCGAAGTCTTCTCTCATTTCTGCCTTTCAGTTTTAGTAATTTCACTAAAGTGAACTGTTTTTCCACCTTAATAAGCTCCAATTCCAACATGATCAGCTCTCTTTCACTCGTAGTAACCTAGCCGCGAGGAATCTAAACACAGTGGAACATTAAAACTCTCCGCCGCCAACTAGCGTTTCGGAGCAGTACTGCAGAGCAACCAAGACCTGAACGCAGAAGTATAAATGCTCACAACGGCGTCGCCTACGTGCGTAGCCAACGCCGTACACTACGGCGTACCCTCGACGCAGAAGTATAAATTGGCCTTTACAGGGGAAATGAAATGCAACGAATACACTGCGTGTTTTAAATAGTGTTAAAGACGAAAACTAAGGACATTTGCTCTATAATTTTATTTTATTTTAGTTAGTTTTGCAAACACACATTACAGTTTTAGTTAGTTATAGTTTTTTTGTAATGGCTCGTTTTTATTTTTATTTCAGTTAACGACAATGTTTTTTCCCATCTAGTTTTCGTTTTTTCGTTAGTTTTCGTTAACGATTATAACCTTGGTGGAGAGCATTTGCTCAATATCATCGTCTCATTTTTTGACGGATGTGGCGTTTAGCGGTATTTTTATAACAATAAAGGATGTTGACATGAGAAATGCTAAGCATGTAGCATTCAGTTCATTATACAAAACTACGAATAATGCATATCTGCCCATTATATTATCAAAATCCACTTTAGATCGCAATTGGAAGTTGTTTTAGGTGAAGTCATAATCTCATAGATTGTAATGCGTAGCTTGATGCTAATTGTAGCTCTAATGCTATGTTTGTGTTTCTAGTATCCACAAGTTTCCGAGGGGCGCTCCTGTAAAAAATAAAGTGGGTAAAACTTCCGGCGAGGCGGCGGAAGTAGCATTCCAATGGTATTTTGTGTGTTAGTTAGCGAAGAGGCTAGCTGTTTTTCGGAGAATTATTTTACTATTTAAAGACGCAAATCTTTATGAGAGATGTCGTTACGGAGCTCAGGGACAACATGTGCTGTTCGCGGTTGTATGTATAACCGGACTAAACTAATTCAGTGGCTTAAACGTGATTGTTTTGAACATAAGCTGAAAACGAAATCAGAGTGATCCTACCAGAGCCCGTCTCTGATCCTGCCAACGACTGTAGTTTCCATCACCTCCCAAAAGACGGCGAATCTTCCTGTGTACATTTGTTTAAATTCTTAATATTCTATAAACTCTATCAGCATGTGATTGGCTGTTCGCTACTGATGTTACACCTAAACTCAGGATCAAAGCCTGTGTTGACAGAATACCAAATGTGCCAGTTAATGTATTCAAGCAGCACATTCATTTATAATTTTGAATAAACTCCAAAGCACAATGACTAAGTGTGTATTTTTTTATTTTAATTGTTTGTCAGCTCGCACAACTGTCTGTCACCATGCCTTGATGAGTATTGATTATTAATAATGTTATTATAATACTCCCAACCAACTACTGCGGAGGGTAAAGGTACTGTTATTTCACCCTTTTGAATTTCGTTGAGGTTGTGTTCCCACATCGTTAGCTAGTTTGGATCGTTATAACTTGAATGACTGTCAACTGTTGAATGAACGAGTGTCAAGCATGTCAAATCGCGCTTTGTTTACTTCCAACCGGAAGTCGCGCCCACTTTTGACGCAAGGCCTCATGGGGCGTAGGAAACTTGTGGATAGTACCAAGCTTTACCTTAATTTACTGTTAGACTAGGTTATAAAACCAAATGGAGAAACCTGCGAGATATATAAAGGAAAAATTAATCATCGGGTCAGAAAGATCTAGGTAGGCGTGAATTAGCAATCAAACGTTTCGCGTTTGATGTGAAAGCGCCAGTCGTGCTCAGCGTGAAAAGTACTTAAAAGGGTAGTTCACCGAAAAATTTAATTTCAGTTTTTCAAACCCGTAAGACCTTTGTTCATCTTTGGAACACAAAGGAAGATATTTTTGATGGAATCCGAGAGCTTTCTTCATAGACAGCAGAACAGGACTTCCTGGTTCTACGTCAGAACTCCGGCTCATGATTGGCCAGATCCTGCATCACACGCATGTTTCGTAGTGCTCACATGACCAGCGTCGGCCAAAGGTGAGTTGGCGTTCTGACGGTGAACTCAGAGGCACTGTTCTGTTTACACTACATCAACAGCACAGGAGAATAAAGTGGAAGAGAAGAGATTGCGCAAAAAAGTTTTATGCCGCTTTATGTTGTCACAATGGACTATTTTACTGATGTCTTTACTACCTTTCTGGGCCTTGTAAGTTGCAATAATGATGCTGCCTATGTGGGGTCAGAAACCTCTCAGATTTCATCAAAAATATATTAATTACGAGGTTAGAATAACATGAGGGTGAGTAAATGACAAAATTTTAAGATTATGGACCAGATTCTGGGGTGAAAGTCTTACCTGAATCCAGTTTGAGAGGATTCTTATGAGCCAGGTAAGTGTCTCCCCTGAACCTGGCTTGACTTGTGAGACAGGTGAAAGTCAGAGGGCGACGACAAATCATTTTATGTTGATATATTTGCATGATATCATGCAGTTTCATGACTGATATATTTTTCTGATATTCACATTTTTCAACTTAATAGGTTATTGTTGTTTATTACAGAGTCAACTAATAAATGTGGTCATTTGATGGGCATCTAAATAAAAGCAACCAACAGTATTGTATGCAAAAGTAATATTTTTTTTAATATAAATAATTTATTCATTCTCAAGCAAGAAATATGTAGCTTAAGAATTAAGACAAACAAACAAAAATTGGTAACAATCAACAATAAGGTTTAATTTAACTATATTAACATACTTCTACAGCATATATTAATCAAATTCAATGTAATTTCAACATTTACTAATACATTTCTAAGATTAAAGTTGTATCTGTTAACTTTAGTGAATGCCGCGTGTACCCTTACGTGAAGATTTTTATTAACTAAAATTAACAAAATGTTAATAAATGCTGTAATATATTGCTCTTTGTTAGCTCATGCAGGTTAATTCATTGACAAAATGTTAATACTACTTAGTAATGATAAAGTGTGACAGATTGCTTCTTGACCACTTCGATCATAAAGTTACTTCACAAACAACATACTAATAGGAATTATTGATTATGTATTTGTATTGTTGTCAAACAATCTAGTTGTTGGCAAAAAAAAAACCTCAGCAATGCATATCAGTTATCTGAAAATTAAACATCATTATGTATCTAAACCGACATATTTCACCAATACTCACACTTTAACTTAATCGATTATCTTTAACACCAAGTCTGCCGATAAATGGCACTAAAAAACACTCAATCAAACTCAACACAATTGTAAAAACGTGAATAATTTAATGTGTAATTATCTTTCAATTACATAACAGTTATTCATTCTCAAGTGAGAAATAAGTACCTTAACAATTAACTCAAACTGATCGTTTAGTTAACAAATAACTTTGCTAATAACAATTGTAAGACTAATAAGAATTATTATTATTAAGATTAACATTTATAATGCATCTGTTTTTAATTTCGGTCTAATATCTTTCAGATATTGTGCATATCAATTATTAGAAACATTAGTTTTAAAAACGATGGATATCGTCATAGATAAACCATAACTGGTCAATCTCTAGTAAGACCTGGATCTGGCTTCTGATGGAGAGGTAAGAGTCCCACAAAAACAGAGTCTTACCTGCACTGACCGATCTGTGGTGGGACAGGTGAGCAGCATACCTGGGACAACTCTGATGTTGAGACTTACCTGGTCCTGATCTGGACGGTTTCTCGTAGGACAGGTGAGATTGCTACCTAAACCTGGCCTGAGAGATTTCTTATTGAACACTGGTCTAAATCAAGGTTTCTAAAATCTGACATTTGACGTCTGTATTATTACGAGACGGGTGACCTGACTGAGAAGTTCTTATACAGATGTTCTACATGACAGATGAGGTCTGATACGTTTTCAGATTTGACAGGTGAGCATCTTACCTGGAGTGTCGGACGAGGACAGCGCAGGTGAGTTCAGTTTGGGCCGCTTTGCGTTGGGAGGACCCATATCCAGTAGATTGTCAGCCATCGTGCTCTCTCTCTCGCTTCACAAAAATACACGTCAAAGCAATAAATGCGTCTTCCAAGAGCCCGGAAGGGGGACAAAGCGAAATAAATCAAATCAACCCTCGGGTTTTTCTATTATTATTCAGCGATCAGGAGCCAATAATTAACAGATGGGGCTCAAACGCGACTCAACAGCGCCCCGCCCCGCCATCGCCATTCACCCCATGATAATCCAACACCCAAAACCCGCATAATTAACCTTAATGATCGCCCCGAACCCCGCAAAAATAAATTATATCATCGTTAAAACCGAGAAATACACGACGAGGGCGAAAAATCTCGATTCCTTTAGGTGGTTCGCGTGGGTCTCTTCAAAAATGCTATTTTCTGCGAATAAAAATAAAGACCTTCATGCTCCATGTCCAGCCCGAATCGAATAATGAGTAAAGTCCAGCAATATAAATGAAAAATGAGAAAAAAATATTATTTTTTTAATATAAGCGAGTGGCACAGGAGCGCCGCTCGCGCTGAAGGGGGAAATCAGATATACGGGGGTTTTCCAGCCGACCACAAAAACGGCTCCATTACGCTGATATTCGCCACAAAGATCCGCGATTTGGCCCGAAGCTTGTCGTTTTCGTCGCTGGGAAGCTATTTGGGCCGGTTCCGATGGAGCAGGTAGCGTAAAAAATGAGATAATGCTCTCCCGAAATCCTGACGCTCATCCGCGACAAGATGGCGGCTGTTGATTCCTTCGATACAAAAAGTTTTTTTTTCTTTTCCAGCCAGACTGTGAAGGAGGAGGGGCTGCGTAGACACGCCCCTTACGCAAGCGTGTACGTCACGCGGTCGTGACCATAACAACCGCTAGAGGCCAGTGTTTACATATAAATGTCGAAGATGTAGAGTGAACTCTCACAAAAGTGTACCATGGTGACAAAAATTACAGTTTAGTAACGTTACTATTTATTGTTACTGTGACTCCCCTTTATTAAAATTGAATTGAAGTTTCTTGGAGATTTTTCAGTAGTATCTGCAAATTGTCATTCAATTTCCATGGTACAGCCTTGCAATGTAAACAAAATACGTTACTTTATAAGAATAAAGCAAGGAAAGTCATGGGCTATTTAAAGGGATGTAAAACTTACGTGGTAGTGTGTGCACAGGATATATTGTTAATGTAAACAGACATAAAAAGTTTGAAGGTATTCATTGTAAATCAACAGACAGCACAGACTTCAACACTGTATTATTGGCTTTCCCTTTTCATCCATTAGCTTTGATGTAATAGTATGGCACATGCATTGGTATAAATAATACAAAAATGAAATAGGTTATAAGTTAAATACAGAGAAATACATATGCACAAACAAAGGAGAAACATATGAATTTTTAAATGGCTGTATCTCCAAAGAAACTGGCTGAAACTCAAAATCATACATTCTTTAATAATTACACTCTTTGGCAAGAAGTCTCAGTGTGTAATACTTGTATTAAAAACACATTTGTGTGTCAAATTATACATACACACATGTATAATGTCAAATTGCTTCGATTGGACCAACTGAAATGATTGTAAAGTAGAAAAAAAATCAATTCAAATGTGGCTCTACTGTTCTCATGCATATAAGTTCAGCCCTTTCATTCACCCTAAATGTGTTTTTTGCTTTGCTCATGATGAAGTCTCAAGCAGAAGTAATGGAATGGATAAAAAGCATAAATGTGCTTCGTCAAGCCAAGTTCAAGCTCTAAATTAGCAGTTCAGAGGCTGAAGTGTAATGCTTATTTAGTTGAATTAAGTTTAATATTGCTCTGCTCTCTGAAACAAGGTTGTGTGCTCATTCCCCCTCCAGACAGCAAGGGCATGTTTATTATTATTTAGCAAAAGTTGTGCCCTATAAAATATAAAATACATGGCTTGCAATGCTTGGAGTCACCGAAAACACATCAACTTAACAGTATTAAAATCAGCACAGAATAAAAATGACTTATTTAAGAATGGCACCTAGTAAAATGACAATATAATATTTCAAAATGAAGAGCAGTTCACATTCAAAAGGAATATACAGTGAGAATGAACACGTCAATCTAATTCTTAAGAAAAGGCACAGCGCTAAAGATCACATTAAGACACAAGCAGTATGAAATTGAACATATAAACAAGGATTTCAATTTGACTAGTTGATGCCTTAAATGAGTAAAAGGCACTAATATATACAATGAGAAATACTGACAAATGAATCGAATTTTAGAACATTTCCCTTATAGGATCTTGGCAGATTGCAAATTCACAGAAATGTCAAAAAAAAAAAAAAAAAAAAAAAAAAAAAGTTATGCATTTCACATTTGCTCATAATCAGAGCACAATCCCTATAAAACGTAAAAAAAAATATCAACAACATATCTTTGAGCACACAACCCTTAGTTGCCTATCATAAAGCTTAAAGGTAAGGAAAACAAACTGCTATCAAAAGGTAAACACATAAAGCATATGACAGTCATATCATGGCTGCAGTATCAGTGCAGATTAAGTTACTTACAAAGTGGCAAAAAGAATCAAATCTACATTTACAGATCCTTTTGCTAATATCCCATACAATAATTCACTCTTCATATTGCACATCAAAAGAAAAGCAGGCAGAGTTAAGGCTGGTCTAATCTATTATAATATTCACACGAGTCTGTACATTTGACTGGCTAGAGTAAATATATGTTACCTAGATTATTGCCAGTACTCGTAACCCTACTCTGCCACTTAATTGTCAACATAATTTCTTGTCCATTTATTTTTTTCACATTTTAACTAATTTAATTAACTTTTTTTCGCTCACAATATTAATTGACGACAACCAAAATCAAAGGCAACATTAAATGGCATGTTAATACTCTCATTTGACATATTTTCTTAAAGGTGCAGGAAGCGATTTCTGAGAAACACTGTTAAAAGTGGATTGTAACACACTTGTAACTAATACCTGGTTCAGATTACACGATTTTTTTTTGTCTGTTACGATAGTCACTGTGTCAGATTACGCGATTTTGGCTCCTAAAATCTTGGACAAGACACATGTCAGACTACACGTTAATTCCTGACCAGTCATCGCATGCCATGTTTAACGGTGCGCGTGATGTCATCGAGAAGGCGAAACTCGTAGCGAGTTACTTCCTGGATTACTCGGCATTGCCTTTTCAGCGTGAGAAATACACGGTGTGGTGTGTGAGCGTGTGAACTGGTTGAAGTGCGTGTGTCTCACGGCCATTGAACCCTGCTCGAAGAGGACAGTATGGGCTGTCAATCCTCCAAAGAAAACTTGAGGTAAAATAGTTTTCTTATATATTTTTACTTCTAGTTTTAACGTTAGCACCATCGTCTCTCTTTCGTTTTGTCTTTTTTGAAAGTTGTACGGAAAAGCTTCCCAGATAGCAAACTGACATTAAATCAACGTGGAAATATGACTTCGAAACAACGTTGATCTGACATTGTTTTGCTCATCGAATTAACGTTGAACCAACGTCAGACGCGTCATTCTTTTAAAACTAACGGAAAATCAACTTGAAATCAACGCGTTGTTTCAACGTTATGAAAGCAAACCAATTTTCGATTTTCATTTAGCTTTGAAGAATGCCGCGTCTGACGTTGGTTCAACGTTAATTCGATGAGCAAAATCAACGTTGTTTCAATGTCATGAGAGACGTCGTTTCCACGTTGATTCAATGTCAGTTTGCTATCTGGGTTCTGTGCTCCTATTGGTCAACCTCATACATGTGACGGAACCGTTAAAATTAAACATGCTAGTCTTTTTGTCGTGATGTCGTGAAGCATCGCAGACACGACGTAGGTTGTCGCCCACTATGACACACTATACGAGATGATACGATCGAATCTTGCGTCCCGACGCCCGTTGTCGTTTACGAATCCCCACGACACCCTACGTCAAACGGATCGTGCCAAAATCGGGCTAAAATCGTGTAATCTGAACCAGGCATAAGGCCTTGTCTACAGCTCGTGTTAAGATGTGTTTTGGTCGTTCGGGTCACAAGTAGACGAGGGAGACACATTCCTGTCTCTTTTGTCCACTTTCAACCACTTCTGTCCTGATTTATTCCAGGGGAGGGTCTATGGGCGGGGAAAATGTATGTGTTTTTTCAATGGATGAAATAAGCTTGTGCATTTTACATATAATTGTGACCGAAAACGACAGAAAAACATATATGGAGAACACCCGCTTTAGAAGACCAGCTGAACGCGGTGAGTGTGTGTTAGAAATCAGGAATGGTGAGAGAACATTGTGCTTGGTACATTTCTCATCTATAAACAAAACTTGTGTCTCCAGCCGATGAAGTTTAAATCCCGTCTGGATTGTGCTTCCCATTAGGTCAGTAGGATGAGAGTATGCGTCGTTCGAACACATTTGACCAAATGAGCATTTATACGAAGAAAGCAATCCCGTCGAATGTTTTCAACTACCTCTGGAAGTGGTGGAAAGTGGACAAGCTCAAAACGTTTCCGTTTTAACCTGTATTTAGTGTCATCCACTTGTGATCCGATCAACCAAAACGCATCTGAATACCAGGGGCACGTTCAAGTTCAAAACGGTGCGCAACGTTTTGCTACCGTTTCCAGGTTGAACCTCATGTTTCCTGGAAACGGTGTGCACCGGGTTTTGAGATACGTTTTCTCTTGTTTGGTGGTGCAGTCCAATCAGCAGCAACATGTATATAAAGCATGCGGTATTAAAGCGAACTTACACAATGGGTTCAAAGAAAGTAATTTACAAATGTGTTCGATAAAGGTCGGTATATGCAACAACTGAGGATATAATAGACCTGTTTGTTGTAAGTTTGATTGTAAAAATATATAATATCAACATAATGATGCTTCATTGCTTCATTGCAAGTGGGCCTCTGACATTTGGTATATAAATAAACAATGGTAATTAAGTGCTTTTCGTAAAAATGAGAAAGAAATTACAGGGCATTAAAACAGTATGAACTAAAGTCAGTATGTGAGGCTAAATAGATGTGTTTTAGTCTGAATTAGGTAAGATGTGCTTCCATTTCAGTTTCCACAAATCCCTTCACTCGATAGGGATGTTCTCTTGTGTTCTGGACGGCAAGTGCAGTAACTGTAACATCAATGTAGCATTAAACACATATTTATACCGACTTCATCAGGCTCTGAAAATTCTTCACAAAGAACACAGAGAATGGCCTTCTCAGCTGCCGTAGTTGCAACTCTTGCGTCATCAGAACGGTGCGTTCAACGCAGCCCAGGTGTGAACAGGGCCTAGAGGTCTGCGCGGGAATGTTTATTTAGGATACCCGCTGTTCACCCGCTATCTGCTTAGAATGATTTTCGACCGATCCCACTAAATTTAGATCTTGTTTCCAGAATCTCACATTTAAATTTCCCCTAAAGACAGAGAGATGAATTGGGGATAACAAATAAAATTCTTGTATAGCCAACATTTTCTATTTGTTTTTTTTTTTGTCATTTCATGCACTGTTAAAAGAAACCTGTGAAATTTACGGTAAAATACCGGCAGCAGTGGTTGCCAGTATTTTACCGTAAAAAATATGGTGGCAACCTTTTATGTTTTATGGGACTTAAATTTATGGGCAAAAAAAAAAAACCAATAAGAAAACCTGTGAAATTTACGGTAAGAAAACGTCAGAGTGGATACCAGTATTTTACCGTTCAAATTAAATTTTTTTTACAGCACACAGTCAACACAGTTAAAAAAAAATCTCTGTCACAAAGAAAAATAGGCTACATTAAATATGACATCTGTCACTCAAAATTATACGCCAAAAAATATGAATAAATTACTTACTAGCTTACTAGCTATACTGCAAAATTAATTATTTAGTTTTTAACAGAATTTCACTGACTAACGATAGTTTCAGTAGCATCTCTCCTCCCAAATCTGAGCACAAAGGCTGAATATCTCTCTGAAGGTGCACTCGTGGGCAGTGTTGTAGTCGAGACCATCTCACTCGAGTCTGAGTCGAGACCGAGACCCAGAGAGAGTCGAGTCCGAGTCGAGACCGAGACCAGTGAGGGTTGATTACCTAATTTACTTTTATTTACTTAGAGAAATACTTTTTTTTTGTATGAATTTACTTAGAGTTTAAAAAATATGATCAGTTTAGGGTAAAAAGGCCGCATAGTAGGTGGTGTTAAAAGTAATTTTATTGCAATTTGTCATGCGCAGTTGCGCACTAGAAAATCACCAATCACTGGGTGTGTCAATCAATTTAAAGAAATATTTTATTAACATACATTAATAATCATGAAAAATATTTTAAATTGAACTTGAGTGGACTCGGGAATAAAATGTTCGAGTACGAGTCAATTCCGAGTCCAAATGCACACGAGTCCATGACAAGACCAAGACCATTAAAATATGGTCTCGAGACCGAGTCCGAGACGAGTCTGAGTCTCGAGTACTACAACACTGCTCGTGGGTGGCCGGGATGCAAAGAACTGGGAACTTTGTAAACGACACCACAGGAGAAAGTTTTGTTCACTTCAAGTTCAAGTGTGAATACATGTTAGTCAAATCTCCTCTTGGGCAGTCCTTGGCCAAGAAAATCTGCGACAGAGTCCAGATATTCTGCTGTCAATCCGAAGGTCTGGCTGCGCGAGACTAGCTTGTTCTCCCTTGTCATTCATTCCTTATCTTCGCTTAGTTTTTTTGCGAAGCATTATTCTGCTTTGCTTCAGCTAACGAGACATCCACATCTGTGTTTGTGCATTTTGGGGGCAGAGCAATGAAGGGAGAGGTGTGTTTGTTTGAGCTGATTTCAAATATCAACAGTGCTTCTCAGAAATCGCTTACTGCACCTTTAAGTGCAACATAACATTCAATGAGAAAAAATAATGTCGGACATGATTTAATTTTATCCATCAGGAATTGTTTGGATGGTGGAAGTAGGTGATACCATAATAAAGCCAAATCTGAAACAACACAAGCAACCCACTTGTAATGAGGATTCTTGACCACAGCATCTCACAATTTTGAAATGTTGTTTTCAAATCTATCGCTATTTTGCTATTATTGTCACAATCAGTTTACCATTAATCATCATTGAATTGCTGCACTACTTACAAAAGTCTATAACACTGTCATATGGCTATTGGCTAACTTTTTTTTTCCATGCCTGTGAGACAAACATTTTTGCTTTTACAACAACGTGCACTTTAGGAGAGTAAATGTTGATTTTTTAAAGTTGATTTGTAATCAAATTGCCTATATCTTAAAACAGTAGCCCATAGTAGCTGATGCATGAAAGCATTTTTCGTCCTTTAAGACAACGAATGTGTCCTTTAAGATGAACTCATAGTTAGTTCTCAACCCAACATTTAGCTGCAGAATGAAGAGCGACAGGAAAAAAAAATCAGAACGTTCAAGAATCTCCTGTCAAATGTTTGATATTCTTGATTGTAGGTGAATTTAGCCCATAGCTTGCTCTACATTTCACTAATACTTCTTCACAGACACTTTTGGCCGTGCACCATTCAGAGTCTTGGGTCTTCGCAATATAGAGTTTTGCTTTGTAAATACTGACTGTTGAACGTTCCGACAACGAGAACTCAGAAATGTCAATAAATATTCCAAATTATAACATCAATAATTATAACATCGACTAACATCAATTTTTCCATGCTAAATCTTTGTGATCTTTAGCTTTAGATTTGATTGAGAAATCTTTTTTTTAAATGCCTCGTACATATTGTTGTTATCATCCTAAAGGCACTTCATTAAAAGAAAATAATTCAATAGACAATAGCAGGGAAATAATAGTCAAAATTAAATTAGCCGGAATAACTGCGGTCTGTTTAAGGATGGGACTTTAGGTCCCAATGCATCTCCCCAGCATTTCTTATTCCATGTAGAAATGATTCTGAGTTTCTTACGGTCAACGACACTAGATGTGAACGTGTCTCCTGGTTCAGCTAGTGGTACTGTATAAGACTTTCCACTACACATACACTGATGCAAATCTACACTAGCATTCGTCCCTAAACATGCCTATCCCTACAAACTCAAAGGAGACGGTTGCAAGCCCACGTTTAAAGGGTTAAGACCAACAGCAACAACATTGTGGCCGTGTTTACAGTCAAAGTTTTGTCATTTCACCCATATACGCTATTTCTCCCGCCTTGTTTGCATTGGCCTCTGCGCTTTCTGCCTGGACAGGAGAGGTCAAAGTTGGTTCTGCTTGTTGACCGAAAACTGCTGGACTTGCGCTCAGGTTGGTTTCTGGTATGCAAGTCAGGCCAACAGCAGATGCAGATCGTTGGGCCTTGGACGTACCGTTGCTTCCGGCAATCTTTTCGGGAAAGTCTCTAACAGCGTATCCCTGTCCGGTAAGCCCTGAACTCACGGAGAAAGATGCACCTACTTTACTGGCATTGGTCGCCATTATCATATTAGCGATTTCATCGGTGGGCGAGCGCCCGATGCTACCGTCCACCTGCGCTCGAATTTCTGGAGAGACCGAAAGCTGGTATTGAGGTACAGGTCCGCTGTCTGTGCTCTTCGGGTAAAGGTAGGTCTTCATTTGACCCTTGCCCTTCACGTTGACGGTACCTCGGTAGTCGAACTCGTAGTCCATTCCGCTGAGCACGCAGTAGCTCTCCTCACTAACTTGAGCCCGACACTCCACACCAGTTGTGTCCATCCGGCTGGCGATGTTCACCGTGTCTCCCCAGATATCGTAGAGGAGCTTGGTGGTGCCGATGACTCCGGCAGTGAGAGGTCCGTGGTTGAACCCAATCCTTAACTTGAACTTAAAGCCCAGCATGTTTTTATTGAAGTCGTCCACCACTCGCATCATTTCCAGGCAGAATTCGAAGAGCGCTCGTAGGTGGGCGTGCGGATGGGCCTGGTCGCTACACTGTTGCGTATTTAGCCCCGACGCCGCCATGTAGGTCGCGCCGATCGTCTTGATCTTCTCTATGTTGGAAAAGTCAGACTTGCGCAAGAGTTCGTCGAAGTCCCCGATGAGTTCGTTGAGGACGCGGTAGCATTCTTTCCCCCCTTCGTAGCTCTCTTCGTAGAACTCGCTGAAGTTAACGATGCTGGCGAAGATGACGCCCACGTTGTCGTGGTTCTTTGAGTAGCTTTGGGTCACCTTCAGCTGCTCGGCCACATGGATAGGGATGATGTTGCGCAGGAGCCAGTCTGCCTGGTCCCGCATGTTTTGGATTTTAATGCGGTGCTGGTCTGCCTCCACGTTCCCATGGAAGTGTAGACGGTAGCTCACCTCGAACTCACGGTTGAGGAACCAAACAAGAAGAAGCAACAGGAAAAAAGCAACCAAAGCTTCTGGGCCAAGTAGATCCTGCGGTCGGGCCGAATCTTCTTCCGAGGACTGGACGTCATTGATGCTGTTGTTGAAGTCACTGGATCTGGTGACATGAACATAGAGGAAGACAATTTCAATAGTACAACAAAAATGAAAACTGGGAAATTTTGAGTGGCATGCTAGCATAAAAAAAACAGACAGTAGTAGTATCCATAGTCTTAAACTTACCTAAAAAATAAACGTTCCCAAGTGCTAAAAGAAAAATTGACAGAGATGAGTTAGCTTTTAATTAGTTTTAGAACATCACAACTAATCTATGAAAGCCCAGTCAAAAGCACCTTTCACAAATCACAAACCTTTATGAATTATTACCTTTCATTCAGAAAGGATGCAGTAAATTAATCAAAAGTGACAGTAAAGATATTAAGGGCCAGATTCACTAAACAAGGCAAGTTGGTGTAATAGTGGAATCCCATAAAAGCATCGATGGAAATGGAAAGTTCTGCGTGTGATCTACTGACAGCACGCAAATTAAAGAACACAGATGCAGTCAGATCATTCCTGTTAAACAAATTAGCATTAGTTTAATTAGTTAATTAGTTTAAGACATGTTTTTTTGGGGCAGTAAATAATCTCACAAGTAACAGTAAAGTGACTAGTGCCTTGCGTAAATCATTTAAATACTTTCCTCCAATAAATTTTGTGTCTAAAAGGGAAACTCCTGCAAATACATATGAAATAAGGTTAGCCGTGTGTCACTGCATGTCTTTAGTAAATCCTGACAGTAAAAGAGGTTCCCTATCAGTCGCTCACTTTCGACATAACGTAATTGGCATAATTGGGATCGCCTTGAGAGACCAATCTATTTCGATAGTATTAAAACAAGTCAATGCACATTGGCATGCGATAATTGCATCAGCTGCTCTGCTTGCAACGAGCAGCAGGTGCGTCGCATATTGTCTTTCGCTTCGGATCGAAAAGGTTCTACTGTTCCTGCTCTACAATCTTCTGAGTGTTAAACTTTAAAACAGAAGAAAACAAGTCTCTTCAGGGAATGCCTCTTCAAAGCTTGTGTTGGTGTTACAGCACAGACAGTACTGGCCGTGATCTCACATGGGATGCTGGTCATTCTCATGATGGACCTAGCATTTGATTCAGGTCTCCAGGGGAGGATTGGATGACAACCACTGCATCAGAAAGAGGGTTGTTACGCTCTGGAAATGAAGATGATGCAGTGCTACCACTATAATGGTGTGCATGCTCGTGCTAAATCAGATTGAGACGCATGCTTTCCCGGGTTACACTGGGGGTCCAGTGCGACGCGTAATCACCTTGCCACCTTGTCAGTACAAAGTCTTACCCCTGGGGCTGGCCCTGTCGCCCCGTGTCTTCACAAAAGTCGCGAGGCGGCCATTGCTCCCATGTGCGAGTGTGATGTTTGTCTCCTCAACTACCTCGGCGACTGGCTTATCCTGGCCCAATCGAGAGAGCAGTTGTACGAACACAGGGACATGGTGCTCAGTCCCCTCAGCCACCTAGGGCTTCAGGTCAACTGGGAAAAGAGCAAACTAACCCCCGGACAGAGGATCTCTTTTCTCAGTATGGAGTTGGACTCGATCAACATGACAGCATACCTCACAGAGGCCTGTGTCCAGTCAGTGTTGAACTGTGTGAGCTCCCTCAGATGCAGAACAGCGGCACCACTGAAACTTTTTCAGAGGCTTCTGGGGCATATGGCATCTGCAGCCATGGTAACACCGCTCGGACTGCTTCATATGAGGCCGCTTCAACACTGGCTCCACGATCGAGTCCCAAGATGGGCATGACAGAGCGGCTCGTGCCGGGTCCAAGTGACCCCTCACTGTTACCAAACTCTCAGATAGTGGTCGGACCCTTTGTTCCTGTGGGCAGGTGTTCCCCTAGAACAAGTGGTCTCCACAGATGCCTCTGCCACCGGCTGGGGGGCCACGTACAATGAGCATGCAGGTTCAGGTCTGTGGACGGAGCCTCAACTACATTGGCACATCAACTGCCTCGAGTTGTTAGCAGTACATCTTGCGCTGGGCTGCCTCAAATTGATGCTACAAGGCAAGCATGTACTAGTCCGTATGGACAGCACTTCGACTGTTTTATACATCAACCGCCAAGGTGGTCTACACTCTCGCCGCATGTCACAATTCGCATCACTCCATCTCCTCCTTTGGAGTCAGAGGCATCTGAGGTCGCTTCGTGCCGTTTTCATTCCGGGCCTGCTCAACGGTGCAGCCGACCAGCTCTCACGGCAGCAGGTGCGATTTGGAGGTGCTTTGGGACAGCACAGATAGATCTGTTTGCCGCCCCGGACATGTCACACAGCCATCTGTTTTACTCTCTGTCCGATGGGACCATCGCCACGGATGCACTGGCACACAGCTGGCTCCGGGGTCTTTCGCAAATATGAGTTTCCCCCAGTGAGCCTTCTTGCACAGACACAGTCTTGCTTTTTGTGCCATTTGGCAGTTGAAGGTAAGTCACTGGGAAAGCACAACCTGATCGAGGAGACTAAGTCCTCCTTACCCGCTCTCTATACCCTCTTGGGATTTGTTTCTGGTCCTTTCGGCACTTCAGATACCACTCTTTGAGCCTTTGCAGTCAGCGGAGTTAAAAATTCTGTCCTGTTAAACAGTACTCCTGGTTGCATTGGCATCCATCAAGAGGGTAGGGGACCTGCATGCATTTTTGGTCGACGAATCCTGCCTAGAATTTGGCCCGGCTAACTCTCATGTGACTCCAAGACCCCAGCCCGGATATGTGCCCAAGGTTCCTACCACTCTCTTCCGGGGCCAGGTAGTGAACCTGCAAGCACTGTCTTAGGAGCCCTGGCTTTTCTCTGTCCCACTCGCGGTCTGCGTCTGTACGTGGACAGAACGCAAAGCCTCAGGACCTCAGATCAGCTCTTTGTCTATTATGGAGGCAAGCAGAAGGGAAAGGCCATCTCTAAGCAGAGGATGCCCCACTGGATAGTGGACAGTTGGGGAGCGTCCGACCCCAGGACTAGTGCTCTTATGCTTGTTAACTTGTGCAAGGCTGGGTTCTATATGGTTTTCCCTGCGGCGATCCCATTTGTGTATTCTTCCATGATCAGCTGATGATCAGAAATGAATCTTGGGCATCAAATCATCAAGTCTAGAATGATTTCTAAAGGATCATGTGACACTGAAGACTGGATTAATGATGCTGAAAATACAGCCTTGATCACCTGATCATCTTCCAGCAGAAAAGTTATTTTAAATAATAAAAATAATAATAATCCACAGTATTACTGTTGTTCTGTATTTTTGATCAAATAAATGCTAAAGCCAAATCTTACTGACCCCAAACTTTTGAATGATAGTATACGTAACAAAGTTTAAAATGTTTTGTTTTCCACTTAAAATAACTAAACATTTTGTCTTACTGTACTGGCATATTTTTAAACATGTTTTTTTTTTTTTTTTTTAAAGTATGGTAACATTAAAAACCTGCCAGTGCAGAATGACAAAATGCCTATTCATTCTCCAAAAATAAGTCAAAAATACACATGAAACAATGATTTTTTTGCAGCATGCAGCAGTTCGGTGTATAATGTGTGTATTTGTGAAAGTTTGAACCTGCAAGGAGGGCTCCAGAGCACACTCAGAAAGGTGATTCCCGCTAGCGTCGCCAGGCTTGAACGCATCCAGAAACTCAGCTGACAGAAATTGCAGTACTGTATGATGGCAATTATAACAGCACAGCAGGTGAACATGGTGAACTGGGGAAAAGAATTAGACATGAATTAAACATGCTCATGCTCGCAGCAGAGTGTGTGCAGGATTGCAGTTTACAGAAATATGGACTTTCCTGACTGAGAGCAGCAGAAATGTGCTTCAATTACTGCATCTATTTCACCACATCTATATGTACCCTACATAGTAAAGTGCACACTTAAAACCATTTACCCAAGCATGCACATTTATTGTGTTAGCAAGACGCTATGCTGTATGTGTTTTTGCTACTCCTAAAAGGAGTTACTATATATGTGATTTTTTTTATATATATATAATACTTTAGAGTGTTTTTGAGGATAATTTACATAATAAGGTCCAATAAACTTTCCATGCATTAAAATGTTTATATACACTGCTGTTTAAAAGTCAATGTTTTGAAAGAAGTCTCTTCTGCTCACCTAGGCTGTATTTTTTAATGAAAAATATAGTGAAAACAGTAATATTTTAAAATATTAATGCAATTTATAACAAATGTTATTAATTATATGTGAATATATTCTAAAATGTGATTTATTCCGTTGATCAAGGCTGTATTTTCAACATTATTACACCAGTCTTCAGTGTCACATGATCCTTCAGAAATCACTCTAATGTGATGATTTGAAACATTTCTGATATCTATTAATGTTGAAAATGGTTGCGCTGCTTCATATTTTTGTGGAAATTATGATTTTTTGATGAATAGAAAGCATTTACCCGAGATAGAAATCTTTTGTAACATTATAAAAGTCTTCACTGTCACTTTTGATCTATTTGCTGAATAAAAGTAACTTCTTTCACACACACAAAACAAAATCTTACTGACCCTAAACTTCTAAAACATCTGTAAAGAATGTTTTTGATTTGATTCACTGGTATGATAAGAATACATCTCAAGTTTGACTCAAACCTGTGACTACAATTTTAGTAATATTTATATAAGTTTTAATTGATATACATATATTTTTTAACCTGAAGTTTGAAAATTGAATGATCCATTTTTATTCTACCACCTAAGCGGATGGAGGGAAATGTGCTGCGATACGCAACAGCACTAGCACCGAGTTTCAAAATTCCAGTATGAAATATGAAACATTTCCATTCAAATTCCAACATGAATGTGTGCAGAGCTTTGGTAGATATAAGAGAGTGCCATGTTATACTACCATCATTGTTCTGCTTATTTGTGAGGGAAATGCTCATTAATTTTAAATAAATATAAATGTATGTTGTAAAAAATAAATGGACAATGTCTTTACCTGTATGGAGTCATGCATATCGCAGGTGATGTGAGAGAACACAGCCACGGCAGGTAAAGACACCAGCACCGCCCCGATCATGTGACGGGGAACCCAGCCAGAAATGGCCCAGAGGAGGGTCATGGTGCAGTTCAGAACGCTGTCCAGGTAAAAGGCTCTTCTGTGAAGGATATGCACTTCATCAGGACTGTACAGTATCAATATGTGCCATTCAAATACACTCTGTATTGTACTTTATGCTGCTTTTGCCCATGTCCAGTTTAAAAACTAAAGTAACAGTCTATTGTGAACAACAAAAGGGAAAAACATCCCAATGTCATACTGGAATATGGAAAATACTCCCAAATTTTTAAGAAAACCTACTAAAAATGATAAAAAATATAAAAAAAAATGACTAAACCTTTAACTAAAGTTAAACTAAAGACAGAAAAAAATAATATAAATATATTAGAATAGCAAAATTATAAAATGTACAAATATGAATTAAGAAATATTAATAAAAACCATAATAGTATCTCAAAGATACTAAAATCACACTGATTTGAACAAAAACTTAGGAATGGTGTCTATACATTGAGTGCATCACACAGACAATGAAACACTGAGAACAAAAGTAGACCAAACATGTATTGGCTGTAAAAAGCACATAATTGATTTTGACATTTCCATCAGACAATAAAATCAAATCTCGCCACAATTTCCAGGCAGTAAAACAATTATCTGCATTTAATCTCATTGCAAACAGAGATATTCTTAAAAACTACTCCCACACCATTAAGGTGACAATGAAAAATTACATTTTAGCTACAAAGGATGCTAAAAATCTTAAATTTGATTATGAAACATGGCTTTGTATCAGCCTAGAACAGATCCAGCCGCATGCTGGTTAAAAAAAAGAGCCTGAAAACTATTTAACCACATATATTATTTAATAATAATTTCACCTTCTGTGACCGCAGCAATATTTCTACAATTTGTTCATTATAAAAAGCCTTGGAATTCTTGTTGAAAATATTCAGACCTGACAGATCACAAGGATTGGAGGGATTTCTGAAATACATTTAAACAGATAATTCGAGAATATTTAGAGCAAGTAAAACCTTCTTCTCAAAACCGTTAGCCTCATCCACACAGGCAAGTTTGAATAAGATAATCCAAAAATGTCACCCTAATGTCATTCCAAACCTGAAAAATGGATTTCCTTCAAAAATGGAAATGACGTGTTGCACTATATTTGATCATACACAAGTGTGAATGAGATTTGGAAGACCTGGAATATACAGCAAGCCCTTTCTTGGGTTCCAATGTTATTGCATGTAAACAAACAAACAAAACAAAACAAAAATGTACTTGTTTATGTTTCATAAAAAAAATGAACAATAAATTCCAATGGTTTGGAATGACATGATGAGGGTCTAAATGATCAACACCTCCACACTCACCTTATAGCGAGCACGAGGGCCAAACATTCAAGCACAGCTGCCACTGCAGCCACTATAAAGGCAGGTGTGGGCAGGGGCTTCTGGGTAACCAGTGGTCGAAGGAAGCAAGCCAACGAGAGAGCCAGAAATACACAACAGCACAGGAGCATGTCTAGGAAGGAGCTGAACGTCGGACTGGCAAACGTCTGGACGGGAGCGTGCGTCTTGACCTGACAATCAACAGAATGTTTACGTCTCATTACATCTTTACGTGTATTTCAAAAGACAGGCCACCAGAGGGCAGTACAGACAGAGCAACAAAATATGCTGTTTCTCTCAGTTAGCAAAACATCACAGACACAGACCGAGTAAAAAAAACAATTCTGAACATCGTGAGAACACACGAGAAGCGACGGAAGTATCACCTCGTCCTGGTAGCTGGTCCTGTAAGCCGACTCCAGGGATCGGTCTATGAAAGTGTGGCTCAACTTGTTGATGGGCGGTTTGAAGAAGTAATCTTTCATCAGACTGCAAGGCCGAAGCACAGACAACAACATTACATTGTGGAGGGAGTTCATCATCTGTTTTTCGTATATGAATGCAGTATTTGTGTAGAAATGAGGCATTTTTTGTTGAAGATTATGAAAAGAAACGCATATGGTGCGGAGCTATATCAACACAGCTGTTGATATATGAGGGAATAAGACGAAAACACATCCTGGTCATACTTCAACCCAAAACCAAAAGAATGTATGAGAAGTATAAATGTTAAACGTTTGCTGTTAAAATCTGATTTTATTTGAGTTATTTTTTCCATGGTGTGATTTTTGGTGAATTAGGGTCAGTTTGACCACCCAAATAATACCCAGATGTTTAAAGTAACCCTATTATGCTATTTTAAAAGGTCCCTAATTGTTTTGGGAGGTCTCCTACAGTAGGTGTTTACATGCATCCGAGAGCAAAAAACAAAACATTTTAATTCTCTCATAATATACATTGCAGCATCACCTCTTGTTCATTTCTCACAGTCTCTGAAACAGTTCATAACGGTCTCTCTAAACCCCTCCTTTCTTTGCGTTACTCAAATCTGATTCGTCAGATGACCCAGTCTGTTGTGATTGGTCTACTCTGCTCTGATTGGTCAGATGACCCAGTCTGTTGTGATTGGTCTACTCTGCTCTGATTGGTCAGATGACCCAGTCTGTTGTGATTGGTCTACTCTGCTCTTATTGGTCAGATGACCCAGTCTGTTGTGATTGGTCTACTCTGCTCTGATTGGTCAGATGACCCAGTCTGTTGTGATTGGTCTACTCTGCTCTTATTGGTCAGATGACCCAGTCTGTTGTGATTGGTCTACTCTGCTCTGATTGGTCAGGTGACCCAGTCTGTTGTGATTGGTCTACTCTGCTCTGATTGGCCAGATGTCCCAGTCTGTTGTGATTGGTCTACTCTGCTCTGATTGGTCAGATGACCCAGTCTGTTGTGATTGGTCTGCTCTGCTCTGATTGGTCAGATGACCCAGTCTGTTGTGATTGGTCTACTCTGCTCTGATTGGTCAGATGTCCCAGTCTGTTGTGATTGGTCTACTCTGCTCTGATTGGTCAGATGACCCAGTCTGTTATGATTGGTCTACTCTGCTCTGATTGGTCAGATGACCCAGTCTGTTGTGATTGGTCTACTCTGCTCTGATTGGTCAGATGACCCAGTCTGTTGTGATTGGTCTACTCTGCTCTGATTGGTCAGATGACCCAGTCTGTTGTGATTGGTCTACTCTGCTCTGATTGGTCAGATGACCCAGTCTGTTGTGATTGGTCTACTCTGTTCTGATTGGTCAGATGACCCAGTCTGTTGTGATTGGTCTACTCTGCTCTGATTGGTCAGATGACCCAGTCTGTTGTGATTGGTCTACTCTGCTCTGATTGGTCAGATGTCCCAGTCTGTTGTGATTGGTCTACTCTATTCTGATTGGTCAGATGGCCCAGTCTGTTGTGATTGGTCTACTCTGCTCGGATTGGTCAGATGACCCAGTCTGTTGTGATTGGTCTACTCTGCTCTGATTGGTCAGATGACCCAGTCTGTTGTGATTGGTCTACTCTGCTCTGATTGGTCAGATGTCCCAGTCTGTTGTGATTGGTCTACTCTGTTCTGATTGGTCAGATGACCCAGTCTGTTGTGATTGGTCTACTCTGCTCTGATTGGCCAGATGTCCCAGTCTGTTGTGATTGGTCTACTCTGCTCTGATTGGTCAGATGACCCAGTCTGTTGTGATTGGTCTACTCTGCTCTGATTGGTCAGATGATCCAGTCTGTTGTGATTGGTCTACTCTGCTCTGATTGGTCCGATGTCCCAGTCTGTTGTGATTGGTCTACTCTGCTCTTATTGGTCAGACGACCCAGTCTGTTGTGATTGGTCTACTCTGCTCTGATTGGTCAGATGACCCAGTCTGTTGTGATTGGTCTACTCTGCTCTGATTGGTCAGGTGACCCAGTCTGTTGTGATTGGTCTACTCTGCTCTGATTGGTCAGATGATCCAGTCTGTTGTGATTGGTCTACTCTGCTCTGATTGGCCAGATGTCCCAGTCTGTTGTGATTGGTCTACTCTATTCTGATTGGTCAGATGACCCAGTCTGTTGTGATTGGTCTACTCTGCTCTGATTGGTCAGATGACCCAGTCTGTTGTGATTGGTCTACTCTGCTCTGATTGGTCAGATGTCCCAGTCTGTTGTGATTGGTCTACTCTGCTCTGATTGGTCAGATGTCCCAGTCTGTTGTGATTGGTCTACTCTGCTCTTATTGGTCAGACGACCCAGTCTGTTGTGATTGGTCTACTCTGCTCTGATTGGTCAGATGACCCAGTCTGTTGTGATTGGTCTACTCTGCTCTGATTGGTTAGAAGGTCCAGTTTCTTGTGAGCATGTCTGAAACCAAATGCCCATTAGAAAAACTGAATTTCAGCTCCAGCGGCTTCCTCAGCACTTGATACACAGTGATACGAAATAAAGGGGCAGCCAATGAAGACCATATTCTGGCATTAGCAAATATGTTATAAACATGCTTCAGTTTTCTTCAGGGAATGAGACTGACAATAATTACTGACGACTCGTTTCTGGCAGCTCAGAATCGGATCTTTCTTTTAAGAGAAAATAACTACATTTATCTGCAATTTGATCTTTGAAATTTTGCAGACCTTGTACATTCACAAACAGCTCGAGTATATTGCACAATACACAATCTGAAAAAGCAGAGTAAGGGCAACTTCAACAGAGCTATCTCAGCTCATACAGCACCTAGATAAACTGGATTATAATGTTACTAATTTTGCACTAAAATACTATATGTAACTGGTCAGTACATTGTTAGCATTTATAGAGGAAGACAAGAAAAATGGACCGTCCAGGATCGGAGGACACACACAGTACATCACAGCACACTTCATCAAAGTGCATCAAGTGTCCCTCTGGGAACAGCATGACCTCCACTGGTGCTGGTTAAACAATAACGTTCCATCTTGTCTGACATTTTTGTCCCAGCGGGCCTCGTCCTCACTGCTGTCGTTCCCTACCTGTCCTCCTTTATCACGTCCACAAAGTGAGCGTCGCTCCTCTCGCGGAAGTTTTTGGAGCGCAGTGGGATGAGGGCGGAGTGGTCCATCGTTCCCATGCAGCTGATGCCTCCTACTCCGGGCCACTTCTTATCCTTCTCCTGCAGCATCTCACACAGGGACGTCTGGCTGTGGGTCAGGGGCTGCTCCAGATGAGGACTTAACAGCCCATTGAGGGTCTTGGGACTCCTGCCTTGCGGTCCCTGAACAAGATTCAGAAACAATGAAAGAAACGCTGCAAAATGTTGTCAAAGAGGACCTATTATGCCTTGATTTTGTTTTTATGGTCTACAAGAATAGGTTTGCATGCTTGAATGTTCAAAAACACTATATTTTTCACAAATTCTACATTGTTGCAGCACCTCTCTTCTGCCCTCTGGGGTGACTGTGCTTTGCAACATTACACACTCAAGAAAGGTAAACAAGAAAGCATTTCAACAAATAAGACAATCTTAAATATGTCAATAAATAAGACCCCTCATTTATGCACATTTATTGTTATGGCATAACCAATATTATGAAAAGGCTGGCAATGTAAATGCAAAGTTTATGGGTGATCACATAAAATTATGTATATATTGATAATTTCACATTATATTATATCAAACATATCCAGACCACACTTTATCTAAAATTGACTTTTATTTTCAAGTCAATTTGGCACCTTCTCATTCATGTAATTCACATTACTATATCCAGATGTGTTCCTTTTATTTGTAGATTTTGATTCAATTTTGGATATTTTCATTGTTCTCAATTTATATATTTTACTGATAGAAAAAAAAAAAACATTCAACACAATTATCCAGTAAACTACCATTCAAAAGTTTGGGGTCAGGATGCTTTAAATCAATCAAAAGTGACAGTAAAGAGATTTATAAGCTTACAAAATATTTATAGTTTAAATAAATGCTGTTGTTTTAAACGTTCTATTCATTAAAGAATCCTGAAAAATGTATCATGGTTTCCACAAAAAATATGAACCATCACAACAGTTTTCCACACTCATAATAGGCTAATAAGAAATGTTTCTTGAGCAGCACATCCGTATATTACAATGATTTCTGTTTTTATTATTACCAATAGGTGGCGCTATCATGTAGCCTTCAATGAAGCATTTCTCATCTAGCCATTTTGAATAAATGGCTATTTTTCCCGTATAAAAGGTCTTGTTATATGTAGGGCTGCAACTAACGATTATTTTGATAATCGATTAATCGGACGATTATTTTTTCGATTAATCGATTAATCGGATAAAAAATTATATTTCATTTTTTGTTTATTATAACAAAATAAAACCCTAAAAACCACACTCTTTTGTGTGTTAAACAATCTACTTAATACAGATAACTTCATTATAAAGAAAAACAACAAATAAAAAAAATATATATGACCATAACCTATGACAAAAATGCTATTGTAAACTATATTAGTGGATAACTCAGCAAAACTTAGCCTAGAAATATCACAAGTGCACAATAATTTTATAAAATCTAAACATTTAGTGAAAAAAACATTCCTTAGTGGGGAACAAATAAGAGACAATAAGTGTAGCACTAACTCTGGTAAAACGTACACATTGCTATTTGTATTGTTGTTATACATTCATGAAAAACATCGTAAAAATCAGATGCACAGCTGTTTTAAATGTAAAGCACAGCTGTTTAGTGAGGAAGCAAAATATAATAGATAGGACAGAACAAGAAAGGCTATTAATAAGCTTTCATTGCGCTAAAAAGTATTATGACATGATCATGAAAGAGCTGCAGAGTGCAAATGCGCATCGCGAGCGCTGAATGATGCGCTTGAAGCAACACGGAGTCACAGGGCGGCGCGCAGCTCTTCAGTGTCCGCCGCATTAAAGTTAAAAGCACCAAGGAAAGAGAAAGACATATTGACGGTGTATTATTCAGGATCTATGCAATAGTTTATTAAGACTTTTCTTTTAACAGTTTTAAATTTCAGTTAGGCTACTGTGCACGTGAAGAACAATTATACTGCGCCGACTCTACTATAGTGTTGTGATCTAACAGACACTCAGTAGAAAGTGATTAAGTTACAGCAATAAAAGTCTAGCAAGATAGAAAAACCATCATAGACCTTTATCTACGGATCAATTATAATAATAACATTGAATCATTGGAAAGAGATCATCATGTTAACTGTTGTAACGCGACGCGCTGTTTGAACACCGAATAGAGAATGACTGACAGCCGCAGTGGAGGGAAAAGCTTAGGTTAACTTGAATTTAATGACTTAAATATACATTTCTATCTCACATTATACTATAGTATGGCTTCATAAAGTATACACGATTAACGTAGGTCACCTATTTTGGTTTCAAAACGGCGAATTTACCGAAAGGTGAATGATTTTCGTGTGCTGCATATTGATAGCGGTTTCCTGATGACCGCAAATTAGTTCAAACTCACTGAATCAAGAGTGCGCATGCGAGACAGAAGATAATGTGCTCCAAACTGTCCGTGTTGCGCGCGCGAGACAGGGTAGAGCGGCGAGGGAGAGAGACTGCATGTGCGCCTCATGAAGCGCATGTAAGAAGCGCATGTTCCATGTAAACAATCCCCGTGACGTAATCAGACCAACTAATCGATAATGACATTCGTTGACAACGATTTTCATAATCGATTATAATCGATTTTATCGATTAGTTGTTGCAGCCCTAGTTATATGTATTATTTGAAACCCCATTGTATATTCTAAGTTGCACCAATGATGCAGTTTTATCTAGTCATAAACAAATTAAATATTGGGGATTTGCAAGACACACACCTTTCTGTTGATGGTTTTGTGGTCAGGATCAGTGCAGCTGTTGCTGTGAAGTGACCCGTCTTCAGATGCTAAAACACTACACGAGGGACAGGCAGACTGAGGGAGAGAAGCAGCAAAACATTGTTTACAATGCTAGTGTGTCGCTTGCTATTAGCATATTGCTAAGTGATTGGCAACACAGATGTTTAACCCTGTAAAGATAAAATAGTCAGATTGTTTTGTTTAAATAGAACAGGTCATTGAACATTTAGACAACATATTAAATGTAAATAAATATTAATATTAATTGTCGAGGGTCATTTCTCATGCATCAGGCTTGCATGGCTATGCTAGGCCAGGGATATGTTAGGCCAACTCCAGTCTTGCAGAGTTTAGCTTCAGCCCTGATAAAAACTCTCCTGCCTGTATCTATCATAGATATCCATAATAAAGACTAGATGTCTAACGGCAGAGTCTCTATCGTCATCACCGGCAGCCATCTTGTCACAGGCAAGCTTTCTGGCGGGCTCTGTGGTTCCTGATGTAAGATGAGTGATCAGCACCAACACAAATACTCTTATCTTGGTGAAATCTTGACGGATTTACAAACGGTTTGGTTTCTTACAAGCATTATTAACGTGGCTATAATTCTGGATGATTATTTATTGATACACTTATTATTCACAAGTGTGCAGTGTCATAACTACATCTCTGACGTTTATAACAAACCAAACCGTTTGAAAATCGGTAAAAATTTTTGGTTATTTAAAAAATACATGTCTGAAATCGAATACTTCCCTACTATATAGTATGCGAAAAACAGTACGCGAGCAGGGGTGCGTTTCACGTACAACGACGTAGTTCACTGTTTCACTGCCATAGTACAATGCATCGTTGGAAGAAATATTTCTTAAAGATATCTTTAAGTCTGGTTTGAGACCCAACCTTAGGTTATCCAACCTCTCTGGTCTCGCCGCGGACTCTTTGGTCTCGGTCTCGCCTCAGACTCGACTCTCTTTGGTCTCGGACTCGACTCGGACTCGACTCTCTTTAGTCTCGGTCTGGCCTCGGACTCTCTTTGGTCTCGGTCTCGACTCGGACTCGACTCGCTTTGGTCTCGGACTCGACTCTGACTTGACTCTCTATGGTCTCGGACTCGACTCTGACTCGACTCTGTATGGTCTCGGACTCGACTCTCTTTGGTCTCGGACACGACTCTCTTTGGTCTCGGTCTCGCTTCGGACTCGACTCACTTTGGTCTCGGACTCGACTCTGACTCGACTCTCTATGGTCTCGGTCTCGACTCGGACTCGACTCTCTTTGGTCTCGGTCTCGCTTCGGACTCGACTCTCTATGGTCTCGGTCTTGACTCGGACTCGACTCTCTTTGGTCTCGGTCTCGCTTCGGACTCGACTCTCTTTGGTCTCGGACTCGACTCTGACTCGACTCTCTATGGTCTCGGACTCGACTCTGACTCGACTCTGTATGGTCTCGGACTCGACTCTCTATGGTCTCGGACACGACTCTCTTTGGTCTCGGTCTCGCTTCGGACTCGACTCTCTTTGGTCTCGGACTCGACTCTGACTCGACTCTCTATGGTCTCGGACTCGACTCTGACTCGACTCTCTATGGTCTCGGACTCGACTCTCTTTGGTCTTGGTCTCGACTCGGACTCGACTCTCTTTGGTCTCGGTCTCGCCTCGGACACGACTCTCTTTGGTCTCGGTCTCGACTCGGACTCGACTCTCTTTGGTCTCGGTCTCGACTCGGAATCAAGCCTCTATGGTCTCAGTCTCAACTAGACCTCAACTCTCTTTAGTCTCGGTCTCAACTCGGACTCAATCCTCTATGGTCTCGGTCTCGCCTCGGACTCGACTCTCTATGGTCTCGGACTCGACTCTGACTCGACTCTCTTTGGTCTCGGTCTCGACTCAGACTCAACTCTCTTTGGTCTCGGTCTTGACTCGGACTCGACTCTCTATGGTCTCGGACTCGACTCGGACTCGACTCTCTTTGGTCTCGGTCTCGACTCTCTTTGGTCTCGGTCTCGACTCTGACTCTCTTTGGTCTCGGTCTCGACTCGGACTCGACTCTCTTTGGTCTCGGACTCGACTCTCTTTGGTCTCGGACTCGACTCTCTTTGGTCTCGGTCTCGACTCGGACTCAAATTTCTTTGGTCTCGGTCTCGACTCGGACTCGACTCTCTTTGGTCTCGATCTCGACTCTCTTTGGTCTCGATCTCGAATCGGACTCGACTCTCTTTGGTGTCGGTCTCGACTCGGACTCGACTCTCTACGGTCTCGGTCTCGACTCGGACTCGACTCTCTATGGTCTCGACTCGGACTCGACTCTCTTTGGTCTCGGTCTCGACTCGGACTCGACTCTCTTTGGTCTCGGTCTCGACTCGGAATCAAGCCTCTATGGTCTCAGTCTCAACTAGACCTCAACTCTCTTTAGTCTCGGTCTCAACTCGGACTCAATCCTCTATGGTCTCGGTCTCGACTCGGACTCGACTCTCTTTGGTCTCGGTCTCGACTCGGACTCGAGTGAGCTGGTCTCGACTACAACACTGCACCCCTTTATAATCTTGCAGGATAAAGACCTTTGGTGTAAGTGTCCAAACTGAGTGCCTGTCCGTCACACTGACCTTAGCTCTGTCTGGGCCCGGGGTCGCAGCGCAGGGCGAGGATGTGACGTCGGGACTGAAGGACGTGACGCTGAGAGACTTTCTGAGCTCACTCTTCACCAGAGCAGACGGAGGACAGCTCCACTGCGGTAGCTTCACCTTCCTCCCGGATATCAGAAACGTCTTCAGACCTGTAGGACACACAAACACACACACACACACAGCGACCATCAAGTCCCAGCAGTGTTTGTCTATTTCACTTTGGTTCATTGTACGCTGACCTGTGCTGACAGCACTCAAATGGATTCATCAATCAATTCTGAGCAAGCACATGGTGTGTGAAGGGAGACACTTACAGCAACACACAGCACACTGTACACTTTTTGTCACGACAGAGACAACATTTCCAGATTGCAATATATATATATATATATATATATATATAATTTGTTTTTCAATATATTTTTTCAAAATATTACAATTAAATTAAACTAAAAATTATTTTTTCAAACAATAACAAACCAGGTTAAATGGTTGAGCTTGATGGAATACAACCAACACCAACCACGTGATTTGGTAGGGAAATAAGAGGTCAATACAACCAAGACTAAGTCAACCCTGGTTAAAAAGCTGGTTTAGTGGGTCTCCCCCCTGCTGAAAAATCCAGCTAAAACCAGCCAAGGCTGGTTGGCTGGTTTTGGCTGGTCTCCCAGCCTGGTTAGTTGGTTTATCAGGCTGGTTTTAGAGGGGTTTTGAACACTTTTTCAGCTGGTCAGGCTGGTCTTAGCTGGTCAAGTTGGTAGCCAGGCTGGGAGACCAGCTTAACCAGCTAAGTCAGGCTGGGAGACCAGCTTGACCAGCTAAGCCAGGCTGGGTGACCAACTAAAACCAGCTACTTCCAGCATAAACCAGCTAAGACCAGCCAACCAGCCTAGGCTGGTTTTAGCTGGATTTTTCAGCAGACACCCTAAAACCAGCAAACCTTGACCAGTTCAAACCAGAATGACATCTAGTACCTTAGGCTGTTTTCATCAGGGTAAATAAAGAAGGCATTATTTTTTTCAATGATCATTTACAGGTACGTGTTGATTTCTCCATTCATCAGTCTGACTCTGAAGCATGTTCAAATCAATCTGACACTGCAATAATGAAACATCCTCATAGTCTCTCTCTCTCTGTGAAACACGAACACCTGCTGAAAGCATGTGATTGTGTTTGCATCCAGTCCGAAGAAGATCGTTTGTTATTTAATGTTGATCGTTTTATTTTGTTCATAAGGTGTTTCCTAGAGTCATGTAAGGCGCCTAAAATAAAAATATGAATCAAATTTCTGAAAGAGGCTGGGGATACAAATCAACTTGATGGTGAAAGAATAAATAAGAAACACCGACAGTGAGAGGTTAAGTGTTTTATAGCCACAACTAAAAGAGTCACTTTACATTGAAATACTGCCAGATAGCTTCGGCTGACAGCAGAGCAACTAAAACCGTCTGGGCCGATGTCAATGTTTCGACTAAGCGCCTGTGTTCCCGTCCTCATGCACGTAATGCACCTGTCAGGCGTTCTGCCTGGCAGGATATACATGAGCTGGCGTGGATGAACAGATCTGGCATAAAAGTCACTGTGTGGCTCCATATGGGGCCTGGCATAAAATGCACTAAAAACTTCATGAATATTTCATCAGGTGCAAAATCAGGGATTTCATCGTGGCCATGTCACCAAGACAATGACCTGGAAGAAAAACATTGGAGGAAAATATGTGGGGATTTTTTAGATACATAATAGTGCTACTTTTCAAAAATAGATGGGCTACACAATACACTCATTAACGGTAAAATACTATCATTCAGCAAATTGTAGGCAGCATGCCATAAAGCATAAAAGGAAAGGTAATGGTTCATTGATCTGATAATAATGTGGTACAAAAATACTTAATTGAATCTATTATGGCCTGGTTTCACAGACAGGGCTTAGATTAAGCCAGGATTAGGTTAGGACATTTAAGTAGCTTTTATAAACATGCCTTAGATCAAAACATTTACTGGTGTGTGAATCTTGAGACGAAACAATGGCATTGACATATTGTAAGATATGTCAGTGTAAGTTGCTCTGAGGCAGTCTGCCACTAAGGGGGTGATTACTATTAACTCAACCGGGGGTGTAAAAACATTGAAAATGGGGGGACGGGGGACATGTAGAGTGAAAAGGGTGGGTTCTTAACTTATAAACGATTGAATGGCCATACTGTGAGCTACAAGGTTGTTAATCGATAGTATTTGCTTCTGTTAAAGCCATTAGCTTACATTATTACTACTTTTGAAATAATCATCATGTTTAACAGCAGAATTAATGCTGGAAAAACTACATTACCCATGCTAAATGACCCATTTGACTTTCAACTGTGATCAGCTGTGGTCATTTTGATGGGCTCAGCATGAAAATAGCTTTCCTGGAGTGTTTCAGTCCTTAATGTCCCTGGATGAAAGAGCTAGAAGGAAACTGGTCAGAGAGGCGACCAAGACGCCTACAGCGACTCTGAAGCAGTTGCAGGGATTTATGACACAGATATCACAAATTCTCCACAAATTAGGCTTGTCTGGGAGGGTTGCAAGAGAAAAGCCACATGCAGTCACGACCTAGCTTTGAGGCCATTGATTCCGAGGCCACATGGAGAAAGATGTTGTGGTCAGATGAGACTAAAATGTAATTATTTGGCCTCAACACTGAAAAATATGTATGGCAGAAATCCAATACAGCTCACCATCCAAATAACACCATTCCTGCAGTAAAGCATAGAGGTAGTCATATCTTGTTATGGGGGTGTTTAACTGGAGAACTTGTCAGGATAGAAGGAGAAATGGATGGGGCAAAATATCTGCTGCCCTCTGCCAGCAAGTTGTCAATGGGAAGAAGGTTTACCTTCCAACAAGACAATGACCCAAAGCACACAGCAAAACGGACCACACAGTGGTTGAAGCAGAAAAAGGTGAGTGTCCTTGCATGGCCAGACTTAAACCCCATTGAAAATATGTGGAATGACTGCAGTCCACAAATGCTCACCATCAAATGTAACTGAACATGAGCGGTGGGCAAATATTGCAATGTCTAGATGTTCAAAGTTAGTAGAGCCATATCGCAACAGACTAAAGGCTCGTTCACAGCAAGGACACTAACTATAACGATAACTGTATTAGCGTACAAAAAAAGTGGACGATATTGTTCTGTTTATTCTTTTAATTATCATATGTCTGGCGCTTTAATGGATCTCATAAAGGATCATTAGGAACACCATACTAATACTGTGTTTGACCCCCTTTCGCCTTAATTTTACGTGGCATTGATTCAACAAGGTGCTGAAAGCCTTCTTTAGAAATGTTGGCCCATATACTGCAAAAACTGAAAATCTTGCCAAGTATATTTTTCTAATTTCTAGTCAAAATATCTCAGCTCACTTAATATAAGACAAAATTACCTAAAGACCAAGATTTAAGTAAGATACAGGAGCTTGTTTTTAGACAGTGCATCTTGAATATCTTGTTAAGTGAAACTGTCTTAAAAATATCTTGTTTTGAGTCATATCTCAGATGAAACAAGCTTTTTTGACATTTTGACAGTTTTTTAAGCTGCTGTGTTATTTGTAAAAGATGAATCGTCTTGTTTCAAGAAACAGACTTAACTTGAATTGAGACAAATCTGCTTCATTGAAAACTGCAGGCCAACATGCCCAACTCACAACAACGCACAATGACATGACAGCAAAAAAAAAAAAAAAAAAACAATCAAAAAACGTAATTTATTTACGTATAAACAACTTTACCAACATACAAATTTGTATGTATTCCTATTTAACTTATGCATATTAAAATCGTGGTTTTGACTCTATTCAATTGTCTTATCAATTAAATTTTCAGTCTCATTTATTAATAGTTTAACGTTACTCATAAATAATAACATTTCGTTCTGTTCGTGCCTTTTGCTGCAAACTCGCTTTGAAGCATTAGCCTACATGGTGTTTAACAATAATATACTTTAAAACCTTCCCATATGGAAAAGGTTTGCTAAAAACTCCTGTGATTTGTATATGTTCCAACAGAATATTGTAAGGGACATATGCAAAAACCACATATATAAATTGCATAATATTAATGTATTTTTAATCATATTATGTAATATGTGTCCTACAAAAAACTAAAGCAATATAGATTTTCATGAAGTAAAAACAAAAAAATGCAAATTTAATATGAATTTCCAGCATGTATGTGTATAAACAGAGGACAAGATAAGAACCAGCATGAGGGAAGTACAGCCTACTGATTGATTTATTTACTGCACTGAGTCGAGGGGCCTATGCTTGTATCAATCATGGTTAAATACTGTATAATCTGTCTTAGATTAAAAACACAACATTTAAACTACACACACGCAAGCGCACATTTTAATTACAAAATTATTTTTATTAGAATGTGTTCTACAAGATGCAGTTCCATATTTCACATATCAATAGTTTTCATTTTATATCCTGCATCGATTTCATTTTCATTTGTGACAATTTCTCTAAACTTTATCACAGTACTACTATGGTACAACCTACAAACAAAAAACTTTCCTAAATGTTGAAGTGTTGAAGTCTTTATTAACTAAAATCTCTGAATATAATTTACTCAATAGTTTGAGTTGAACATACCGAAATAAATGACTAAAACTCCAACAATTAATTTTGTCTGAAATTTACAGTTATATTTAAGTTTTTCACTAAAATAGGCTAATTTAGTTTTTGACTAACCAATTATTAATTTAAAATACACTTAGCTAATATTTGTGAAATTTCCATCACAATATTTGAGACTGGATAATTAAACTGATCTGTCTCAAGAACCACAAATATTTCTAAAATAAAATCAATATTATTATTTAACACGCATAAGAAATTAATTAAGTTTACTCAATTAAAATGTATTTTACTGTCTATGATTACAACAACGCACCCCTCCCCACCCTCTGACGTGACGACAACTCAACGGTTGAACTTGAGTGAGCGCTGTTTGAACTTGCGGTTGCGCGTTGTTTGAACTCTCCCAGTCCAGAAAAGAACAGATCTCTTCTCTTCTCCTCTTCTCTTCTCATCGGCGCAGAATTGGAGCATTTCCACCTGAAATTAAGGTTTGTTTGTTTTATTTTATCTGTATAATCATTAATATGCTTTAAATAATTTTATTTAATGAAAAAAGAACATACAGAGACGCAATGTTACTCACCTTAAACGAGTGTCGACTTGCGCCTGCCTTTTCGCGTGATTGTAAGGCCTTGCATAAAAAAACACACCACTATATTCTTAAAGATAATGGATATAACTAATTCGGATGATAAAATGTCCTCAGAACTGTGCACTGGTTGTTTATTGGCAGGTTATGGAGTCAGTCGCGTCGCAGCATTTTTCGGCTGTGAGTGACGCAGGACGGCGGTCTAAATTTAGAAGTTTCCCCGCAGAGGCGAGTCCATCTCCGGCATGGGAACCAGCGCTGACCCGGTGAATACTGGATAACAGACCGGTTATTACACTTGAATTACTTTAATGTTTAGGCCTAAATGTTTAATTTTTACATCGAAAATGTTTCTTACATGAGTTTAGATGTAGTCAATATTGTATAACTTATGTGTTAAAAATAGAATAAAATATGTTTGCTGTAATGTTAGGATATTAATTGACAATAAAGGCCGTGTCATGTAGTTATGCTGGTGGTTGTATGGAATATTTTACAAAGGTTTAGAGGAAATAAAAAAAGTTAATATTACTGCCATATAAACACAGTTTATATTACTCATAATTATTTGTTTTTAAATGTTTCCCCCCAATTATTTCTACTCAAGTTTATTTGTTAATGTACCAAATGCAGTTACTCAGATCTATTTAATTTGTTTTACTAACATTTACTCAGTTAATATAGTGTAAGTAATTGCTTTCACTGCTTAAAAATTTAATCAATATTCTAAGTTTAAAAAGGTTAGTAAATCATATTAAATGTTTTTGAGTGCATCAACACCAGAGTTCATGTCACATACTAAAACATATTCGAGCCAATTTTAATCACTGTTCTAGAAACATATTTGATTCAACTTTGTTCATTTGCAATAATATGTTGTTGTTTTTTTATGAATTTTTTTCTTCTGCTGAACAAGAAGAAAGATATTTATTTGGTACCGGTTTTGACATTTTCTCACTAAATAAATTATTGCGATTTAAACATGTAACGTTATGTTTGTTGTTTTTATTTATAATTGTAACGTTAGTTACATAGTTTTAAGAAATGGGTTAGGGTAGGATTAGTGGCTCAAACTATATTTTAATGCTTTATTGTTAATAAAACTGCCATTGCCCTACACATTATGTTCATTACGTTTTATCCTTTTAAAGGGATTGTTCACTTTGAAATTAATTTTTGATATGTTTTCGCTTACCTCAAGGGCATCCAAGATGTAGGTGTCTTTGTTTCCACAGTATTTTCAACTTTGACATTTTTTGGTCGAACCTGTGTTGTCTGTCAGTCATATAATGCAGGTTTAGGGGGTCCACCTCAAAGAGCATGCACAGAGAAGTCAAAATTAAACATGATTTAATGACTCTTGAATGTAAGTACACACTGATGGCCAAAGACACGAAATGAGCGGAGGGGGTGCGAAAACGAACAGTATTTATATAGTTTTTACCTCTTGTAAACAGCCATGTCGAACTGATCTGAATCAGATGTTGCTGACGCGCGAGAGATCACTTCTGGCGTAATGTTGGACACGGTTCGGTTCAGTTTGACATCTGATTCAGATCAGTTTGACATGGCTGTGAACAAGAGGTAAAAACTATATAAATACTGTTTGTTTTCTCACACAAAACGCTCGTTTCGTGTCTTAGGCCATCAAATTTACGAGTCATTAAATCATGTTTAATTTGGACTTCTCTGTGCATGCTCTTTGACGTGGACCCCCATACCTGCATTATATGACTGACAGACAACGGTTTGACCGAAAAATGTCAAAATTGAAAATACTGTGGAAAAGAAGACACCTACATCTTGGATGCCCTTGAGGTAAGCTAAAACATCAAAAATTAATTTCAAAGTGAACTATCCCTTTAATATTGTCTATAAAATCGGTATGTTTAGGTGTGGGAGTAGGGTAAAGAGATCTTTCATTTATAATCTATAAAATATTCTACAATGTTTTTATATTGCAGCTCCATAAATACTTTTACCGTTTTGTGCAGTCCTCTGAGAATTTTTGCGGTTTAAAAAATTAAATAAAAAAGGTTAAATGTAAGTCTATTTTTCACTTTTTCTGTCTAGTAAACAGTAGTTAATGTCTTGAATCTAGTAGGTAAAATGTCTTGAATCTAGAACCATGTCACTTTTGTTGAGCTTACAAGAAGGTATACACTTGAGATGATTACAGTATGGTAAATTATGGCTCATTATGGCAAAAGAGGACTGCCTAATATGAGTCAGGAATGCTAACTTCAAGGCATTTTGTCTCAAAATGCCAGTTTCCAATCTTATTTCAAGTTGGTGGTGACTTATATCTAGAAGAGTGTAACAATTATAGAACTAAAAATTAGTTAAATACACTTGAAACAAAGAGGATGACAAAAGAAAATGCTACTTTTGAGGGGAAAATGCTATTTTTGAGCATGACAAGCTTATTATGAGACACAAAACATCACAATACTAGTATAATATAGCTAAAAATGAGTTTTCCCTGCTAATTTCAAGATCACTCATATCTTTTAAGGCTTAAATATAATGTCTTATTTCAAGAAATCTTACCAAGAGAATTTTCACTTGTTCCATTGGCAGATTTTTTTGCTTATTACAAGCAAAAATATCTTGTATTAATTTTTTTTTGCTTATTTTTGGAGGGGCATTTTTTCCAGTTGATGGAGATTTGTGGGATGCACATCCAGATCACGAAGCTCCCGTTCCACCACATCCCAAAGATGCTCTATTGGGTTGAGATCTGGTGACTGTGGGGGCCATTTTAGTACAGTGAACTCACTGTCATGTCCAAGAAACCAATTTGAAATGATTCGAGCTTTGTGACATGGTGCATTATCCTGCTGGAAGTAGCCATCAGAGGATGGGGACATGGTGGACATAAAGGGATGGACATGGGCATAAACAATGCTCAGGTAGGCCGTGGCATTTAAACGATGCCCAATTGGCACTAAGGGGCCTAAAGTGTGCCAAGAAAACATCCCCCACACCATTACACCACCACCACCAGCCTGCACAGTGGTAACAAGGCATGATGGATCCATGTTCTCATTCTGTTTACACCAAATTCTGACTCTACCATCTGAATGTCTCAACAGAAATCCAGACTCATCAGACCAGGCAACATTTTTCCAATCTTCAACTGTCCAATTTTGGAGAATTGCCTCTTTTTCCTATTTGTAGTGGAGATGAGTGATACCCGGTGGGGTCTTCTGCTGTTGTAGCCCATCCGCCTCAAGGTTGTGCGTGTTGAGGCTTCACAAATGCTTTGCTGTATACCTCGGTTGTAACGAGTGGTTATTTCAGTCAAAGTTGCTCTTCTATCAGCTTCTATCGCATACTGGATGTTTTGCCCTTTTCACACCATTCTTTGTAAACCCTAGAAATGGTTGCGTGTGAAAATCCCAGTAACTGAGCAGATTGTGAAATACTCAGAACTGAGTTGGGCCCGTCTGGCACCAACAACCATACCACGCTCAAAACTGCTTAAATCACCTTTCTTTCCCACTCTTACATTCAGTTTGGAGTTGGAGATTGTCTTGACACACATGCAAATACAGTATGGAAAAACTTGTCTTTCAATGTCAAATGACTAACCAAGCATTAACTATCCGCAGCTCAGTATCTTGGATACTTTGAGCGTTTTTCCAATGTAGAGGCTATTTTTAGCAAAGGTCAAAGATCAGAAAAACACTAAGGACCACTAATGTGTCGACTTTTCACCAAAACGATCAAAACCACAGGAGCTGTGAGCAGCTTTCCTCTACTCTCAGGGACACACTGCTGTGTATAAGCCACAAAGACATGCTTGATTCTGAATGAGTGACAAGGACAGAGCTGCCATCACACTAGCTGAAGCACACACATCCTAAAACATGCATGAGACTCTCTTGAAGCTGTCAAGAAATGTCGTTTTTTTGGCATAAAAACTTGTCTATAATCATTACACAAAATAATAAAAAAACAGGCTTCATTTTCTTTACCCAATTGAATGCGGTTGAAAAATGACCTGAACATTTCTACCTGAGATTGAATCCTTCAGCTCTATTCATACCCTGCCACTCAAGCATGAGCGTAGAAGAAAAAAGCAATTATGAGTTTGAGGAACATCTAAGATCCATCTTAAACGTAATTAACAGACAATAAAGCCTCACCTCCCACAAAAAACTGGCACATAATTAAAACAGTCAGAGCAGAGAAGACAAACAGGTCACATCTCCAGACGTACTCCAAACCCTGAGCCGACAAGACAGTCAAATGACACCTAGCTCAATAAAAGAGCTCAATCTCAGAGCAAGAGGAGAAACAGAAACAAGGGGCATCAAGGGCTTTTACTGCATATGCCTGACAGCAGGCACTCATAATGGGAGCCCATAAGTCCTGAATACAGAAGGGCTGCACAATGTACTGATTCAAAATACTCATTAACAGTAAAATGAATCCTTGTATGTTACACCTTATAGAGCTAAACGATAAAACAAAGATATTGGAAAAGGCAGCATCCTTACAACTAAAGAAAAAAATGATATCTGCGAGGATTTCCAGTCAGGATTTAGACCACATCATAATACCGAGACAGCTCTCATTAGAGTCACAAATGATTTGCTCTTATCATCCAATCATGGTTGTATCTCTCTATTAGTGTTACTCGATCTTAGTGCTGAATTTGATACCATCGCATCGACCACAACATTTTTTTGAATAGACTCGAAAATTATGTTGGCATTAGCGGAATTGCATTAGCATCATACTTATCTGGCCATTATCAGGTTTTAGCAGTCAATGAAGAGATGTCCTATCGATCACAAGTAAAGTATGGCGTACCACAAGGCTCAGTACTAGGACCGTTGCTCCCTCTTGGGAATATCATATCATTAGCAGCATGGCATTCGTTTTCACTGTTATACTAATGATTCTTTGCGCCCCGACGAAACTTTCCAATACACAAAATTTAACAGAATGCATAGCTGATATAAAAACTACTACTTAATTCTTGAAAAAAACAAAGATTCTAATTATTACACCAAAAACCTCTGCACGTAACAGCCTAGAATACTGTCTAACCCTTGATGGCTGCTCTGTCAAGTCTTCGTCGTCGGTTAGGAACCTGGGTGAGCTCTTTGATACCAATCTTTCATTTGAAAGCCACATTTCTAGCATCTTTAAAACCACATTCTTCCATCTTAAAAATATATCGTAACTACGACATATGCTTTTAATGACAAATGCAGAACAGTTCATGTGTTCATGATCTCAAGGCTAGATTATTGTAATGCTCTACTGGGTGGTTGCCCTGCACGCATAACTGTACGTTCACACCGCCACCGGCGAGAGCGTCAAAGTGGCCGGAAGTCATTCATTTACATTGAGAGCCGAGCTCCGGCGAGAGCGGCGCGTTTCGGACGGCGAGAGCGGCGAGGAGAGTTGAAATCAGTTCAACTTTATGGTAATAAGCAATGACGCGGTTCGGCGGCAACCAATCGGAATGTAGAAGTGCTCCGTTTGAGAGAATCCCAGAGAACGTAGTCCAGTAAAACTTTGGTTCCGGCCACATTAGTTCCCAAGCAAAATAGAGGAGGTTGATAATTTGAATTTGATAAGAGGGCGCGCAGCAACACTATAGGCAAGATTTTCGTGCTAGAACAATTTTTCAACGGGAATGCAAATTATAATAGCACTTAACCATGAACACAAAAGCCACACCACACATATGGCTTTTAAATTGTTTATTTCGTTAGCAAACATGTCAATTTTCTGCAAAAATAACCAACATTTTTGTTTGCTTGTTTGCATGCTTGTTTGCATACCGTTTTAAAAAAGATCACGCATTCGATCTACGTCAGAGCATCAGAGCGTCCACGAATCTTTCCACGGCGTCGTTGACAGAGCGGCAAGAGCGAATTTTGCTGCTCTCGCCGGCAACGGTGTGAACGTACGGTAATAAACAAACTCCATCTGGTCCAAAACGCAGCAGCTCTAGTTTTTACAAGAACAAGCAAGTATGACCATACACTGCATTGGCTGCCAATTAAACATTGTATACATTTTTAAATATTGCTAATTACTTACAAAGCACTACATGGTTTAGCTCTTCAATACTTGAGCGACCTCTGAACGCATTATAGTTTT